TGGGCCTCCAGGTGGCCCCGGATCGCCTTCCCAACCTGAAGTGAGGTTGGGAAACAGGCTCCTGTGTCAGGCTGTCCACTGGTCCAAGCCCACCCTGGGGCCTTCTTGCTGGGGGAATGTTTTATGTTCTTCCTGTTCCTGCTGCTCCCACAGCTAAGAGGCCATTCAGGGCTCAGCACACGTACTGGAAAGGACGCAGGACCATGGATTCCCTCTGTTGGTACCACGTGGGCTTTCTGGAGGGTAGGCAGTGGCCTGCAGAAAGCCCAGGCGGAGAGCCCTGGGTGCCCCTCCACTCCAGGTGGCTCACAGGGGTTTTCCTCAAGGCCCTGGGGGGGAGGAGGCAGCCGACCACCCCTGTGCTGACTTGGTTACTGTGAAGCTGAGCAGCCGACCATCCCCTCCAGGTCCTGTGCTTGCTTCCGGCATCTCCTCTCCTGCTTCTAATCCCTCTTCCCTTTGGTGTCAATAGAAGAAAAGACTAGAGCTCCGGAATGTCACAGCATGATGTTCCTTATGAACAAAAGTGTGAACTCACAGTGAGAAAAACCCCTGCAGACAGGGCCTCAACCCCAGCCCCGACCCTGTGTGCAGACACCAGGGCTCAGCTCTGCAGAGCCGGGCTGGGGCCGGGTAGATGCTGCCCAGGCGGACACTTCAGTCCAGGGAATGGCACAGGCAGGAAGACCAGCCACAGGCCCTCCTCAGTCTATGACCCTGCCTCTAGGAACTGCTCCCAGATGGGAACTAGTCCCCTCTCTACATTAAGGCTGCCCAGCCCAGAGGTGGCCTGCGGGCTCCTGGGCCCTCCTCTCCCGGACTTGGACTTGCCCGGGTAGAAGCCGGTACTTCCTTCCCTTTCCTCTGCTTGGTATCACTAGCCCTCTCCTTCCCAAAGGGATTTTAAGATAAATCATGTGAGGGAGCTTTTAAGGTAAATGGTGGGAGGGAGAAGGAATGACATGAACAGCTAGCACAGGGGACCTAACCAACTGGACGGGAAGTGTCACCCGTGGAGGTGGACGCCAAGGTCCCTGGCTGTCCTTCGTCCTGTGGCTGCTGGGGGAGGTGAGGAAGAGAAGGTGTTTTTTTAAAAGTGGGTCCTTTTATTCCTTGGATTCGTGTGACCAGGCAGGCCGATTCGACGTCAGCCTCCAGGTGGTCTTCTCTGGGGTGGACATGGTATGGAGCTCTGAATGTGGGGGTCAGACTGCGTGGGTTCCATCACGGCCACTCCACTTCTGTTGTGAGTGGCGTTGGCCAACGCCAGTGGGCACGCCGCACGGTTTTCTGGGCTGTAACGTGGGAAGAACAAATATGTTCACAGTAGCAGCTACCCATGAATTTACTGTGAGGAGTACGTGAGAAGGGTATAAGCATCAACACAGTGTCCGGTGCATAGTAGGGGTGCACGAAATCATAGCACTTGAGAGGATTGCACTCTGTCAGGTTCTTAAAGCAGCTCCTCCCTCTGTCCTATGTCTGTGGTCTGGGGACCTGACTCAGATGAGAACAGCAGACTCCAGGGCTCATTTACATAAATTTGGGGCAGTTGATTTTTCCCTCTGTCTCTGCTCCGGGATCCTGGTGGGTGTATAGTCATTTTGCACTTCACCAGGAAGCCTATTATATCACAAGGAGTTTTGCGGCTGCTTTTTTTTTTTTTTCTATCAGAAATCCCGTAGCATCTCTCAATAGAGATTTGTTTTCTTACACCTTCTGCCCGCCAGAGTGGCTTTTCAGTGGGTTCCTCACATAATGTTGCCTTTAGTCCCATGAGCCCAGGTAGGGAGTAGTCGCTGGGGACTTTAACTCAACTTATAAGAAATATGCAAATGTGTGTGAGTGGCCCACCCAGTGGTTTTTCAGGGAGGGGTGGAGACCGAGGAGGATAAGGCTTAAATCGTCCAGCACTCAGGGCTCTGTTTTCTAAAGTTCATTTGTTTTGTAGGCATTTGCTGAATCGTTTCATTCGGGGGTACGTGTAGGGTATTTCTTGCATGAAGGTTCCAAAGAGCTCAAGGTGCATGTTTGAAGGAGGACGCAGTGATATTTCACGTGCCCTGTTTCGCGTAGGGTGTGCGGGGGAGGAGCGCTGGGCCCACCACGAGGAAGCGGTTACTGAAGGGGCGCTTCCCAGATGGCAGATCACAGCGCAGAGTGTCACTGCTTCCTCCAGGTGGCCCTGTGCCTGGAGCCTGACGGCCTGGACACTGGACCCAGAAGCACCGTTTTCTAACTGTGCTCAGAGCAAAGTCATGTGACTTTTCTGAGCTCCTTTTTCACAGATAGAATGGGAACAGCAAGGCCACTGGGCGTCATGTACAGAGGAGTGGGCAGTGGACTTTAGGAGCGAGTGACGTGATGCATACGCACGGGCCCTGTAGACGTGAAAGGCAGAAGAAGAGGTTACCCTGATCGATCATAGAGTACATTTCCCTTTTAGATGGAGAGGGAACCAACCTGTAGCTGGTGTTTTATTGGATCTCAGTTTCCTTTGGATCAGACACATTTGAAACTCAGGTTAAGTGTTGAAGTTTAAAAAGTCAGGTTTTTCCATGTGAGTGGGAGCTTCCCCGGCCTCCTTCATCTGCATGGGCGGGTGCTCTCAGTCCTGCCCTGGTTTTTGAGATGGTGTGCAGGGCACAAGCAGCATGGCCTGTTGAACCGGTATTTCTCTCTCTGGTGCACTCATGAGGCATGGGAATCAGTCAACATTGTCCTTTCTTTTTAAGATTTTCAAAATTGGTTTTTAGAGAGAGAGAGGAAGGGAGAGGGAGAGAGAGAGAATGTGAGAGCGAAACGTAACATCCATCTGATGGGTCCAGCACGCCCGCCCACCCCTCCCCCCGCCCCCAACTGAGGATTGAGCCTGAAATCCAGGCATGTTCCCGAGTGCATGGGATGACACCCAATTCACTGGGCCACAATGCCCAGGGCAGCATGGTCATTTCTGAATAAAAAGTTATCCTAAAAGGAAATCTATGTAGCAGGAATCTTTTAGCATAGATAAATTGACATTCAGAGTATGCCAGGCCTTCCAGAACTACAATAGTGGCAGTGTTGTTGGCTAAGACAGGACAATGTGTGTGTGTGCATGTGTGTGTGTGTAAATTAGAATATACTGGACCCAGGAAGAATTTAATAGTCGTCACCTGACCTTCGAGGATTTCTGGGTGGCAAGTTGATGACTTGATTCTTTCCTCTCTCTGTTTGGATGCTTGCCTATGTGTGACCTGGGAAGACAGGATGGTGCTGGAGAGGAATATGATGACCCAACTAAGTCCTTGTTATAGAAGCCTAAGATCTTCCCTCTTGCAAATCAGGGGCCAAAGGCTCTCTCTAGAGCAGGGGTGGGCAAACTTTTTGACTCGAGGGCCACAATGGGTTCTTAAACTGGACCGGAGGGCCGGAACAAAAGCATGGATGGAGTGTTTGTGTGAACTAATATAAATTCAAAGTAAACATCATTACATAAAAGGGTACGGTCTTTTTTTTTTTTAGTTTTATTCATTTCAAGCGGGCCGGATGCTGTAGTTTGCCCACGGCTGCTCTAGAGAGGAGTGCTTCTGAGGTTTGACTTCCGATTGGGACTCCCAATGGGCGTAGTTTGCCCACGGCTGCTCTAGAGAGGAGTACTTATGAGGTTTGACTTCCGATTGGGACTCCCAATGGGCATTCCTTGGTTAATACCTTTTTTTTTTTTTTAATTCTTGAGGCAAAATGACTTAATTGTAAAGGCACAAAGGACCATGCTGCCTCAGAGGATAGAGTCAGTGTGTTCTTTCTAGAGCCTACTTAGCAAGAAATGTGGCCTGACCCTTCAGCCATTCAACAGAAGGCAGTTGCTGTATTGTCTTGTGTTTTTCTTCTCCTTTGGGTGGGAGTGTCTTCCCCTTCTCGGTCTGTGTGAGCTATAGCGCCTCCTCCCTGTGTCCTGTGTGTTGCCTGCCTTTTCTCCTGGCTGGATGGACAGGGGCGAGGGAGAGCTGGGTCCTGGGATCTGGTGAGCCTTAGTCTCTTTACTTGGAAAATAGAGAAAATCTCCTCATTGCCCATGGTTCTTGGATTGCCTAATAGGATGCACCTGGGTCTCAGGCACATAGTCATAAATATGAGTTGCCTTCTATTACTTAGTCCTTCTCCTGGCCTCACGGCTCTGTGAATCCGAAAGGGCTCAGACAACTCAAGAGGCTTTGAGAAAATGGGTGCAATTTGTTCATGAAGCCATTCTTTGATCCAACAAATGCTTAGTGAGTGGTTGCTCTCTGCCATGCCCAATGCTGAGGTTAAACATGGAGAGCCAACCACTCGGTGTGGTGCACCTGAGAAGAATTGTGCCCCAGAACAGAAACCTGCATCCTGTTGATGAAGGGCAGGTGTGGCTGCAGCTCACCGCTCCTCCAGCCCCTCACATTCCAAAGCAAGGACATTCTCTCTCTTTAAAAATGGTATTTTTATTGATTTTAGAAGGAAAGGGAGAGGGAGAGAAAGATAGAAACATCAGTGATGAGAGAGAATCATTGCTGGGCTGCCTCCTGCACACCCACACTGGGGATCGAGCCCACATCCCGGGGCATATGCCCTAACCAGGAATCGAACTGTGACTTCCTGGTTCATAGGTCAATGCTCAACCACTGAGCACCCCTCGCCGGGCCAGGGACCTTCTCTAAATTATACGGGGATGGAATAGAGTCTACAGTGTTGCATTCCTTTTTCTTTTTTGTAAACTTCATTATGTAGAAGTCCAGGGTCACTATTTTTCATCAACCTAGAATCAGCGGTCCAGCCATCCTTGCCTGACCCTTCAACCATGGAATTCAGGAGAATATCCTCCATGTACATAAACCTCTTCCTGGACTGACTTGAACATCATGGGTCATCATCAATGGCTCTAGGCATATAAACATGCATATTGGATTATTTTATAGATTTTTAACCCCTGGATTATTTTATAGATTTTTTCCCCCGCCCCCCCTCCCCCCATTTTAAAATTTCAGGTGGCCAGGAGATGGGGGAAAAGGAAAAACAAGCCCAAGATGAATTATGAGAAACTGAGCCGTGGCCTCCGCTACTATTATGACAAAAACATCATCCACAAGACAGCGGGCAAGCGCTACGTGTACCGCTTTGTGTGTGACCTGCAGAGCCTCCTGGGGTACACGCCCGAGGAGCTCCACGCCATGCTGGATGTCAAGCCGGACGCCGATGAGTGACGGGCACCTGGGGGGCCAGGGAAACTCTGCTGAGACATTTCAAAGACCCACGTCGGTTGGACTCTTACTTTTTAATGGTTATTCTATTTTTAATTTTCCAGACTCGTTTTTTTTTTTTTTTACATTCAGGGGTGGGAGCTAAGTGAACTGCAGCTATAATCAAGTATGTGTGGTTGGCAAAGGAGAGCCAGGACTGGTGGGGTGGGTGGGACAAGAAATTCTTGAGCAAATTTGCAGGAGAGAGAGAGAGAAAGGTCTCCTTAGAAGCTTGAAGAATCTGGCTTGAGGGAGGACTAGATGCGTATGTCTGATAATTTTTTAAAAATCATCCATGGGGGAAAAAAAAAGTGCCTCATGGGATGAACTTATTAGCATAAGCAATTGAGGCATCAGGGGTCATGAGATGGATGAAGGGCAATTCGTTTGCTTCTGTTTTTCGGTCTGGGCGGGGCCAAAAAGAGGGAGGTGGGGTAGGGCAATTTGTTTGGGGGGGGGAGTGCCCCAAAACCAAGGACTATTTACATTTTATTCTACTTTTAAAACAAAGGTGGACTTCCGTGGGGGAGGGACCAAAACTGTTTTTGTGTTGGAATTTATTTTATTAAATTTTGTGCCAGTATTTTTTTTCTTCTTAAAAATCGTCTTAAGCTCTAAGGTGGTCTCAGTATCGCAGTATCATGCAAGGTTGTTTTCATTTGCCAGCTGAGGATTCTGTCACAGCGAAAGGAAACTGTTTATATAGACCCCACTGGAAAGGCAAAGTGCTGTCACTGAGATCGGACCCCAGATCCAGGTGGCTTTCTAGATGAAGGAACAAATGATGCTGATTTGGGGACAAGGGACCTGTGCATGTGAATGTCATCTGTAATTTAAAAAAAAAAAAAAGATCATCACGCCCCTCTATGTATTTGTCGTTAGTGGATTCTCGGGGTTTAGACTTAATGTTGAGCTAAGAAGCATTAAGTGTTCAACTTGAATGTATTTGGCAGCCCTGGGTGGGGAGCACAGTGAATCCGGAGCTGGACAGGACATCGAGGAGGAGGGTTGACTTGGTTCTTTTCTTATGATTAGGAATCAAAGCTGTGTGCCTGGGCATTACCCCTCGGGTCTTAGGAAGTAAGTCCCGAATGCATGTTATTCCCAACTAACACTTTATCTTTTATGTCTCATCCTCTCAGCCTCCCATACTTCTTGCTCTCCCCCCTGCCCCCCCCCCCCCACACACACACACATACACTCTTATTCAGTGCAGAGAAATGTAAAGCTTTCTGATTGGGGAGTGAACGAGTGACAGCCGACATGAGTTGAAGAGCATATGATAAAGCCATTTAGACTCATTGGGTGTTTGGCGCAATGGAAACTGTGGGTGCCTAGAAGCCAAGGGTGGCTTGGCTGTCTTCCGGAGGAGAAGCGCAAGGCTTTCCTCTGAAGGCCTTAGGCTTAGTTGAGTGGGATGTCCATCCAGCAAGACCGCGCATGCGGAGCGCACAGTGCAGCTGCTGTTCGGGTCTTGCACTTGGACCGCTGTCGTGGCACAGGGTAAGGGAAGGCTCATGGCAGAAGAGAGGAATGACTAGAAGGCAAAGGAAACAGAAGCACAGGAGCTTGAAGGAAGACAATGAGGTGGTCCGTGAGATGTGAATCTATTTTTCGTTCCCCCATAATTTAAACAACGGAGGCAGTTGTGAAGGGTAATCTGAAAATGGAGGTTGGGTCTGGGGTCGGGGGAGGGCCAACATCTAAGTAATGAAGACAAGTTCCTAATTCCATCAGAATCCCCACCATGGCCGAGATGCCTGATTAAAAAGGGTGCGGGCTGTGGGACGGCTTTGCCGACTGCAGCGAGAGAGGAAGAGGCGGTTAAGGTGGGCTTCTCAGGGCTGGCTTCCCCAGGCTCTAGCTGAGTAACCGGAAGTGCTCACCACTTCCGGCGCATCTTCAGGAACGTGGGTTGTTCACTCCGGGTCCTCTCGCAGGCCCTGACTGTCAGGAACTTAGCTCTGTGACTCACGCTGATCAAGCAGAGCGTCTACTTGGAAGGCCAAGGCAGAATCCGCCCAGCTGTATGTTTTGATCTTCTTCCAATTGCAGGTGCCTTAATGAAGCTCTCGAGATGTTTTAGGAGCTGCTCAGGGAGGGTCGGCGGAACTGTTGGACTACATGGTTTTCTCTTAGGTTATTTGATCTTTGTTGGGCACGGGCAAAGGTGTGCGTGCATGTGTAAGTGCCTGTGTGCGTGCATGTGTATGTGCGTGTGTGAGTGCATGTGTGTGTGTGTGTGTGTGTTTGCAGACATGCAAAACTGCAGCTGAGATAATACCTGGGTTTTCTAGGGACACCTCTCCACATGTCAGTCTCAGGCGCAGGTAGAACCAAAGGCTGGGCATCAGTCATGGCTTGCTGTTTGCAGCCAGGCGTACAATCACCTGCCCAACTCATCCACCTTCCCTGTTCCATTGATGCCCAAAACTCCCCTCGTGCGAGTGTCTAACCCCTGCAGCCACCCCACAGCAGCTCCGATGTAAGAAAGTGCCTCCTGTGCTCCCCAGCCCGCTTGCTCGCTGCGCCGCCTTTCTCTGCAGGTCCACCGTTTTCAGTATTTATAGATAGTTTGTTAGTTAAGACCGCTTTGTTGATCTGGCCAGATGCCTTCTTCTCCTTCTGTCCAAAGGCCAGAGACCATCCCAGGAAGAGTGGTGGGTGGTTTATACACTGGAAATGCAGCAGAATTGTTGCATTTATGCTTTTTTTAAAAAAACACACACATGTTAGCTTCAGAGGAAGGATGGGCAAATCGGGTGTAGCCGGGAGAAACCCTGTTTTCTTGGAGATGCCTTCACCCACGTCAGTGCTGGCTGTCGGGTTCAGAGTCCCTCTGGTTCCCTTCTCCATGCAGAGGCCGCTGGGGACTTTGGTGCACGGCGCCCTGGTTGGGTGGCGGCGGGGATTGGAGGTAGCATTCCAGGATCAGATGTGCTGTTCCTCACTTTGGAAGTGAGCTCTCCGGGTTTTAGAGCATTAACCTGCCTGTCTTCATGGTGGAAACGACACCCCCTCTCTTCTAGCCATGCTGTGCATGCTGCTTTCTCCGTTGGGGTCTATATAAATGTGTTAGCTCTTACCTACATTCCAAAGAAGTTTCAAGGAACCATAAGTATATGTATCCAGATACATATATGAAAGATATATATGAAAATGAAACTATCTCTATCAGGAATACTGCCTCAGTTATTGAACTTTTTTTAAAGAATACTTTTTTTTTTAAGCTGAGAAATATAGGGGTAAAAAGATGTTATATTGTGTTTGACTATTTTCCAACTTGTATTTTCATATAATTTATATTTTTTAAAAAGCTGAACATTTAAAAGCAAGATGAAAAAAAAAAAAAGGAAAAGCAGGTGCTTTTTAAAACTCAGAACTGAGGTAGCTTAGAGATGTAGCCATTTAAGTGTCTGTTTTGTTTTTTGTTTTGTTTTATAAATGCAAAAAATTTCTTATGGGGGAGTTTTTGTCTGTATTTTAGTAGCTGATGCTGGCACATCATTTTCCTGAAGAGTTTTTTATATCCTGTAGCCTGATTTCCTATTGTATTTTAAACTGTGTGAGATTAAAGACAAAGAAATTCCTTTATAACGATGTGGGTGTGGCTTGATTCTTTCCCTGTCCGGTGCCTGTGTGAAGCGGGACAAATAAACCAAGCACAGAAGCTCAGGAAGGGATGCGACTAGGTCTTGCTGATCTTCTTCGCTCGGGATCCTTCCAGATAAAAATGTCCCAATAAAGTGAGAACTGCAATAAGAATATAGGGAAGTATGATCGATCTCCCATTCCAGTTCTTGAATACACGGTGTTATCCTTCATGAAATGTCCCCAGCCTTATCACAGCTCATTTTCTTCATGTCTGAAGGATTTAGGGCAGCGTGAAGACAATTTTTAATGACTCAGCAGATAAACATCTGATTTCAACTAGGTCAAGTTCCTGATACTAACACAGGAAGTTGGACATCTTTCCTGATGCTCTGGACAGGAACAGTTTTCTTGTTTCTTCTTCTTTTTTTAAAAATATATTTGTATTGATTTTAGAGAGGGAGGGACAGGGAGAGAGAAACATCAACGATAAGAGGGAATCATGGATCCGCTGCCTCCTGCACGCCCCCTACTCAAGATTGAGCCCGCAACCTGTGCATGTGCCCTGAACTGAATCGAACTGTGACCTCCTGGTTCATAGGTTGATGCTCAGCCACTGAGCTACACCGACTGGGCTCTTGTTGCTTCTGTTACCAATTTTCTCTGTGCCCATTTGGACCCATCACATCCATCTCCTTGACCCCAGTTCTTTTTTGGGGACTGAAACTTAAGAATGAGCCCCCAGCACCCTGTCATAAATACAGTCGTATCGGTAAGTGCTCTGGGGAGGAATGCTGAAACCCCATCTGCGTGGTGCTTTTCTCTTACTGTTGAAACTGAGAAGGTGGATGTTTTTAATTAACACCAACATTTGCAACATGAATCCCAACTCACAGCTGGAGAGAGAATTTTTGCTGAATTGTTCACAAAGAGGGCTCTGTTTTTGGAAACTCTGCTTCTTCGGGCCTGGAGCTTGAGGTTTGCTGAGTGCCCGTTAAGCACCAACTGTGTGGTCTGGTGGTCAGGGAGCCCCATTGGCCACGAGGAGGGCTCTGACATCCCGGTCAAGCCACCACCACTCCCTCAGAGACTTGGGGGAGATGGCATGAGGTACTTCTGTGTTTTGGTCTTCAGCTGCAAACCTGGGCAAAGTCACAACTCCTGAGCCAACCTGAGGCCACATCTGAGCTATTCTCCCCCTACATAAACAGAACATGGAGAATAGGTTTCTGCCTTAGTCAAGGATTTGGACAGAGATCTTTCCTTTGATGCCAAGTGGCTTTTATACCCCAAGTATCTGATTTAATGCTGAGCAGGTTAAAAGACATCAGGCATGCTTGAATGAAATCAGCTTAGTCCTCATGTTTCTCAAACTAAGAGTTCAACTGGGGAATGCTTGGACAAGTGGGCTTTGGTGATCTTTCTCTCTCTTTTTTTTAAATGATCACCCAAGGATATATTTATTAAATTTTAGAGAGAGGAAGGGAGAGAGAGAGAAACACTCAGCGGTTGCCTTCCATATGTGCCTCAACCTGGGATCCTGGGCATCTAACTCGCAACCTAGGTATGTGTCCTGATCGGGAATCAAACCTACAAATTCTTGGTATACAGGACAATACTTCAACCAATTGAGCAACCTTGCCAGGGCTGGTGAGCTCTCTTAGTGAGCCCCATGTTGAAGTGGTGGTGGTAAGGATTGAGGAGAGACAGTATCCCCTAAATCAACCGCAGGGTTTTGAGAAAGCAGGCTAGGGTTTGGATAGAAGGAGACACAGGGAAAAGAGGAGTCATTCAAAAGAAGCTGGAGGTAAAAAAAATCTATAAACTTATGCTTTCAGGAGGTTGTGGAATAAGGCAATTGCCCAGGCTATTCTGGCTTGTCCTTGCCATGGCTTTGGAGCAAGTTGTAGCACTGCCACACACACACACACACACACACACACAGTCTCATACACACACACACACAGAATTGAGCAACACCAGATCCTTCCTGTATAATGAAGTGTAATTATTTTAACAAAAAAAAGAAAAAAAAAGTGGAGGATTGTGATTCGTGCTTTGGATGAAATGAGGGAGGCAGTGGAGATCGGAGGTAACACACTGGCTGAGTTGGCTGATCCCAGGCCATGGAGGTGCTTGGTGTGGCCTTCCAGAGCGGGGACTCAGCTGTGCAGCTCAAGGGAACGGTGTAGGGCCGCAGGGTCCTGGCTGGGTGGTCTTTGATTCTGGCACGGACACTGAGTAGAGACAATCTCCTCATTTGTCTCTAGTAGGTCAGCACCACACATTCCCACTCCTGCCTGGGACTTTGAGTTTGTGACCCCTGTGAAGAGATCTCTCCACATTCCAGGTTTACTCGGCAGGAGGCTCATCTTATTCTAGAACCTTCCGCGGAAGAGAACAGGAGGTCATCAGGTTCCTCAGAGCCCTGTGACTTTTGAGGGCTGCTCTTTCTACTATACCATGCACGCTACCACCCAAGCACTCTAAAAGGGTTCCTTTGGTGATGCTGGCCAACGGCTCACCACCCCTGGGAGCCGCAGCCCTGGCTCATAAGAGGTGCACTTCACATACCAAATAGAGGACAAGGCAGTCTTCTTTCCGTAGGAAGCTTTTCCGATCTCTGGTTTCCCCCACTGGCTGTCCTGGAAGGTAGTTTGTAGCACAGCTGCACAGATGCCTTCCTCTAGCTCAGATGCAGGGATACGTGACCCTCTGGGTAGCTAGCTCGTCCAGCGACCTGGCTAGGCCATTTTATGGGTATGTCAGTTGTTCACATGCCATTGGTTGTTCACTGTTCTCTGGGATCTCTTCCTGCTATAAGAATCCTCCCCTAAGAACAATAAATATCAGAAAAACAGGTTCCTGGCACCTCTTGCAATGAGGCAGAGAGTTCAGGAGTCTGCTAAAAGCAGGTGTTGGTCAACTAGTGAAAAATGTAAAAGGCCTAAAGCTGAGGAAGCAAACATACCCAAATTAGGGAGGTAAGGTGGCTCTGGCCTCCCTGTCCCTTGGCCAGTGTCACTTCCTGTTTTACTCCATGTCCCAGGCCCTTTCCCCTTTTTCCATTTTCCTGGAAAATATTTCTATCCTGGGAAAACCAGCTTCATTTGATTGCCTGGCACATCTCAGTGTGCTGACGCCCGAAGTGATGATGGCGACGGTCCTCTTCCCCTAGCAACACTCGAATCAACAACGACCAGGTCTCAGCACCTGCTATGTGATCTCCAGAGACCTTTGAGTTTGTCGTCTTATCTGTAATGTCTCATTCCTGCCACTCAGGCCCTAGCTCTCTCAGGCCCAGAATTTTTACAAGGCTCTGGGACTCTATCTGATACCCCACGGAGGAGCAAGGAGGTTTTCAACAGCCACTTGTGGGAATTCCTGAAGGTCAAGAGATAGCCACTGCCCATCCCACACTGTCAGCCTGAGCTGCTGGTCCTGGACAGTAGCAGGCTATTTTTAACTTTTCTACAGGCAAAGCCTGAAATTTCAGCTGGGACTCTTCTTATACTTCTTCAAGAGCTGTCCCCCAGATGTGCCTGTAAACAGTACATGACTTGAAGAGGTGGCATCAGTCTTCAGAAGGCCGGGAAATGGGTGATCTCTATTCGCTTGCATTGCCTTTTTGAGTCAAGAATATCCCAAAGGTTAGGAGAGATGGGATGGAGAACCTCAAAAAGGCTTTGGGGATTTTGAAGTGTCCATGCAAACCTGTTGTTGCTCGTACAGATCTCCGGGGAAGACAAGTTCAAAACTGGATGTGTTCTCTCTGCTAACCTATTTCTCAGGGATACCAATAGTTTCCCATATGTTCTGGTTTCCGTGAGAGTAGGAATGTTTACTATTGCAGCCAATGTACCTTTAGTCTGGGGTATTTATACAGATTCGAAGACGGGCAAGAGGGATCGGGGAGAGACAATGACGAGCGTTTGGAGGAGAATGGCTATTTTGTTTAGGTGTCTGTTTTCTCTATGGTCAAGTTTTCCAGATGATATCACAGAGTGTGCACTTGAACCCAAGGGGACTTCCTGGTAAAGTGCCTGGCCTTTGACTGGTCTTAGACCACTGGAGTGAGGAGTACAGTCATTAGGGTGTGGCTGGAAGGCTTCCCTGGGCTCAGGTTTCTTGTTAGGAATGGGTAGGGGTGTAGGTGGGTAACTGATGTGATTGTGAGGCATGCAAGATGCTCTGGTCACCCATGTGCAAAGCCTCTGCTCATAGCAAATTAAGGGTTATAGGCATGTAAAGGAATAATTGCTATCTAGTATAATAGTGTGGTTTGACACCTAGGAGGAACACCTACCATGAAAAAATTTATATCCTTAAGGTGAGTAACTTAATGAGGTGGAAAGGGAAAGTGGTAGAGGTCAAGGCCTACAGATGAGAAAGTTAATGGGCTGAGAGAGAAACAGGAAGTAGTTTTGTGGAAGCAGAGCACAGGGTGCAGTGGAGGAGTGAAGAGAGGTGAGGAGGGGCAGATAGGCGATGATTCAGGGCCTTGTGGGCCGAGACAAGGCCGCGTGAAGAGTAAGGTGGAGCCCCGAGGCTCTTCCCACGTGTCCTGATGTAATCCTGTCTGTAGAACAGAACAGATCAGAGGGACAGGATAGCACCAGGAGGCCCCATTGGAAAATGATTTCATTTGTTCAGAAGAGACGCCTCTGAGAGAATCAGCAGCAAGTAGATCAGAAGTGGGTGGAACCACAGGATGGGATGAATGGTTAGTGTGGGTGGGTGGTGGGCTCTGTGTTAGGACCAGGATGTTGAGAGGTATGCAAAGATGACCATGTGGACACGGCATCACCAGAGTATGGATCTGGAAAAGCCTCAAAGTCCACCCCCTCATTGTAGACATAAAGGGTTTATGGTAAGAGAGTTTAGGTGATTGGTCTGAGGTCACATTGGAAACTGGTGACAGGCACAATGAGGTCTTACGCCTACTAATACCAAGGCAATCCTATGTGTATGATGAGGGTTCAGGGCCAGTCCCTCCAAACACAGGCAAG